AGTGGACTCGTGCAGTTCAAACTCATGTTGTTCAAGGGTCAGCTGTGTTTATTTTCCATTGCATCTTTTTAAATTTACTTTTAGAAATATTATTTCTAATGATGTATTAGTATAAAAATACATGGATACAGAGTTACAAGGAATGTATATATTGGTGTGCGAACAAGTATCCTTTTAATGATGAACTGTGTGACTAAAAAAAAAAAACTGGAGGCAGTTGGACCAGAATTGACAGTTACAAGTCTTGCTCTGACACTTAGCAGCTGGGCGATCGTGGCTAAGTCATTATTCCATGCTAAACTCAGTTTTGTAGTCTGAAACATAGTTTGCTTATGACATACTTACATGTTTGTGGGAGGGTAGATTGGGAACACGTGGGTAAAGCTTTTAGCCAGAGCAGCACACAGAGGGCACACCACATGTGCTGGGGATGGTGGGGCTGGGAGCAACACACAGGCATCTGGAGGAAATTCTGGGGCTCTGCATTTGGGGGGACAGACAGGAAGACTGGGAAGGGGGGAAATCATAGAAATTCTGTGCCCTGTTCATAGAGCAGGGGTTGCAGCCAAGAAGGGAAGAATGTTATTCTCTGTCCCTACCCCAGCCCTTAAGAAGTCAGGCCTCCTCGGGCTACACTGTTCCCTGGAGAACTTTCTTTCCAGAAATAGTTGCCTGCTGACATTTCCCAGCCATACAAATCAAGGTTCCTGAGCAGGATCCAAGCACTCACGAGGCTGAAGGGAGAAACACAGACACGTCTGTCCTCAGAGGCCTGGAGTCATACTCTGCTTGGCCATGGCGTGAAGGGAAGAGCCCAGACCATGGGCCAGGAGGCTGACTTTCATCCCAGCCTGGCCCATGTGTAGCTTTTGGCAAGGCCCTCCTGTCCCTCTGAGCCTCAGTTTCCCCACCTATAAAAGAAGGCTTTTGTACCAGCTGCCCTGGGGGACCCTGCCGTGCCAAAATGCTACAGTCCATTGAAACCTCTTGTGGCTGGGAGTTCCCAGGTAGGACACTGCCCACCCTAGGTTAACTTGTGTTTCTGGACCTGGCACAGCGCAAGGCACAGAGGAAGTGCTTGGGGGAATAGCAGGTGTGGGGGTGAAGGAAGAAGGAGGTGAAAGAAGATGGGAAGGAGAAGGAGAGGCAGGGAAAGAAGGAAGGAATAGAAAGAAGGCAGAGGAGGGGGAAGCTTTTCCCCAGCACCCTGCCCCTGCCACAGCTGCCTGAAGTCCCTCCATGGCCAGGCTCTCCAGGCCGGGCTCATTCCTTCAGAACAGTAGAGGGAAACTTCTAAGACACCTGTGATGGGGGGTCTCATTGCACGGGAGGTACATCCAACTACTGAGGAAGCCCTGAGAGGCCCCCTCCCCTGGGGGTGGCTAACCCCTGCTCTGCCCACAGTCCCTGCGGGCAATGTCACCCACCCCTGTGTCATATCAAAGCATTGAGGAGACAACGTTCACATCCTGGAAACTGCCTGGGAGGTTTGCACCCTCCTGCCCTGGGATCCTCTCACCTGGAATACTTTTTTTTTTTTTTTGTAATGGAGGTGAAATTCAGATAATAACATAAAACTAACCATTGTAAGTGAACAATTCCCTGGCATTTAGTATATTCACGATGGTGCTTCATCACCACCTCCATCTGGTTACAAAACACTTTGATCACTGCGAGAGGAAACCCTGTACCCCTTAAGCAGTGATGCCCACTCTCCCCTCCCAGCCCCTGCTGAAGGCTAATCTGCTTCTCTCTCTCTGGATTTTCCTAGGCTGGACATTTCATATCCGGGTACCTCACTATATGTGGCCTTTTGTGCCTGGCATCTTTCATTCTGCTTGTTTTTGAACTTTATCCATATGGCAGCAAATATAAGGACTTCATTCCTTTCCCTGTGTCTTTTTCTGGCTGAATAATATTATTTGTAGATACCACCAATTGTTTATCCATCCATTCATGGGCAGGCATTTGGGGCATTTCCACCTTTGGCTGTTGTGAGCAGTGCCATTTTGAACTTATGTGGACACGTATGTGTTTGAGTACCCGTTTTCAGTTATTTGGGGCACCAGAATGCTCTTTTCACCATTCTCCTCTTCTTAATCTGAATTCTTACTGAAGGGAGGTTAGGAAAGGTTTCTAGAGGAAGTAACATATAAACTGAGACCATTCTCACCTCCCAGCCCAGCCTCTGTGCCTCCTCCATCACGTCTCAGCTGGATTTGTAGGTGCTGGTTGTCTGCTGGGTTCCTCCTGGGCTCCTGTGAGCAGGGCCTGTGCCCGGTGCCTGGTGCTCTGTGCCCATGCATATGTGCGCTGTAACAGTAGCTGGCCCTCGCTGAAGTCCTGTTGTTGGGTGTGCCGGCTGCTGGGCCCCTCTTCCTGTGTCTCAGGTACTTTATAAAACCCTGGAGGGAAAAAGGAATTATTATCCCAGTTTTACTGGTAAAGAAAATGAAAGCAAAGTGACTTGCCCAAGGTCACACAGCTTTGGGAGGATGGAGCTGTGAGGTGAACAGGGCTGCCTGATTCCAGAGGGCTTGCTGGTGACTTCTCATTCTGAATAAAGGAGGGGACCTGAGGAGTAATGCTGCCCCTTCATTGTGTCCACAACAGGTCACAGGCAGGATGGCTGGTGCTGAACGGAGCTGGCGGTGACCTTTGGGCCTCCAGTGGCAGCTCTGTCTCCTAAAGATGAAGTGGCCCAGGTGAAGCCCAGGCCACACTCAATGGCCAGCTCAGGGACTGAGACCCACTGGACTAGGCCCGGCCTGGGAAAGGGGCCCCAACGGCGGCGCTGGGCCTGGGCCAAGGAGGAGAAGAATGCAGATAGAAGTGGCATGAAAGACTGGGACGAAGAAGGACCCTCTGCCAGTGCCTCTAGCCCCGAGCTCCTGGAGGACTTTCGCCTGGCCCAGCGGGGCCTACTGCCCCTGGAATGGGACCCAAACCTGCAGCCTGAGGGACATCAGGACTCTGAGGCAGGGGAGTCTTCAGGAGGTGAGAGTGACCCCCCACCCCTACAGGAGTGTCTGTCCCCCAAACACTCCACCTGCTGACCAGGGGTGGAGAGTACAGGGAGCTTCACATTTTCTAATTTAATTCCATAAAATCTGTAATTTGAATTTTTTAAAGATTTCAATGGCAGAAAAATCAGAAAACATAAGCAAAAAATATGTAAAATTAAAAATTGCATCTCATGGGTGGGCCTGTGGCTCTAAGGAGTAGGGCCCCAGCCCCATATACTGGAGGTAGTGGGTTCAAACCCAGCTCCACCCAAAAACTGCAAAAAAAAAAATTGCATCTCATCCCAGATAACTACTCTACTCCCCAGGTATAGATGTGCTAATACGAATGTGTACTCTATTGTAACTTTCTTTTTTAACTTAACAGGCATGAACATTTTCCCAACTCATCCAATCTTCTTGCACATGTCATTTCTAAAGACATTTAATATCCAAAGATCATTTAACAGCTTTGCACACACTTGGTAGTATCTTTGGTCCAGGCTTATGCCAATCTTTCAGACTTTTAAAAATCCCAATTAGCAATGAGAAGGTTGGCATTTTTTTTGTTTGTTTGCTTGTTTTCCATAACTGTGTTCTCTTTGCATTGAGACCAGATTAGATTAAATTCCTAGTTTTGTTGGGTAAGTCCCTTCTCTCTGAACCTCCCCATCTGTGAAATGGGAGTAGTAATACCATTGAGAATAGTAAGAGCTTGATACGTGGTGGCTGTTACACTTAGATTATGGATGAGATACCCCTACTTGAGGATCCTGTGAATTGGGGAGGTGCCATGTGGAGGGCAGAGAAGCTACCGAGCTGGTAGTGGGTTCCATTACCCACAGTTTCCTGTGCCTTATCTGCCTGCACAGGGTTTACCCACTGCTGCCCGTCTAGAACCACTTCTGAGCTCTCCATTGTGGTGACTGAGATGAACTGGGTTGACAGGGCAGAGGTATCTCTCTTTCTAGGGTCATGTGGTAACCCCTCCTATGATGCAACAACTGCTCCTATGCCCTGTGTCTTTACTATGTGCCAACCAGTCAGGGACATAGCTGTGTGGTCACCTTCTTCCACCCATCCCTCTCTCCTTCCCTCCTCACCACCATCAGCCAGGTAGGAGGGTCTAACCTCAAATTTGAATAAGGATGTTAAGTCACCGACTTTTCTATGGCCCTAGTGAGGAGTCAGAGGAGCCCAGATTAAATCCACGCTTCCCAGGCTTCAAAGCCCACACTTTTCACCATACTCCATGGCCCTCAGTGGTAGAAGCAAACTCACCTACATGGTTGGGGCCTGGGGCCTAATGTCAGGGACTATTCTGAACCACTGTGTGATCTTTGGCTAGTTACTTATCCTCTCTGGGCATTAGGTGTGCTGCCATAAATGAGAGTGATGTAGGTGGTTAAGGGATGTAGAGAGGTCAAGGGTAGTAGAAGGAGCACCATGGAACAGAGAGGGATGAAAGGGTTAGAACAAAGGTGTGCACCTGGACAGACCAGAGTCCGTGCTTGATGGTACCTCAACTGTGTCTGATCAAACCCTAGACCTATCCCAGAGGCCAACACAGGGTCTAGAAGAGATAAGCAGCTCAATAGACACTGGCTGTAAGGGGATGGATAGCTGGGGGAGGCAGGGAGGGTTGGATGGATGGGAGGATGATGGACAGGTGAGCAGGTGGCTAAGTGGATGGGTGATTGAAAGGAAGGATGATTGGATAGATGGGTGGGTGATAGATAAATATTTCTTGAGCACCTGCTATGTAATAATTTCTACAACTATCCATTTCCTGGTAGCTTTACATAGCTTATTTACCTCTCTCCTTCTCTCTCTTCCTTCCTTCTTTCTGTTCAGTCAACAAATAGTGTTGGGTACCAACTCTGCAAATGCAACAGTGAACGAAAACAGAGAGCGATTCTGCCCTCATGAAGCTTGTGGTATAGTGGAAGAGATGAATGTTAACGAAACATCACATAAATAAATGGAAAACTGGCACTGTAATAAGAAGTACAAAGGAAGGTAGCCAGTCATACAAGATCTGACGAAAGGGAGAATCTGAGTTAGTCAGAGAGACCTAAGACTTCCTTGATGCAGGAAAGGTTGAGTTAATACCTGAAGGGCAGAAGGCGTTAACTAGGCACAGAGAGGGAGAGAACACCCCAACCGAGGACCAGCAGAGGAGTGAGCACAGTCCCAGTCTCCTGCTGGTCCTAGAGCAGTGGGACCAAGAGCCTCGACCACCCTAGTGGCAGCCTTGACTCCTCAGGTGTACGTGGTCCAGCTGGAGCAGCAGGGAGACCTGAGGGGCCATGGAGGGACATGGATCAGGAGAGCTGCTAGATGGGGTGACAGGGACTGTAGGACCATAGTAACGCTTTTGCTCTTGTTCTGGGAACAACAGGAAGACACAGATGAGTTTTCAGAGGGAGGATAAAGGTAAAGAGAGAAACAAGGAATCAATGAGGTAACTGGTGTGGGGGTCCCGGCAGGAGAGGATGTGGGTGAACATAAGTGGTGGTGGTGGGATTCAGAGCCATAGATGAGCCTTGGGGCTCTGTAGGAGGCAGTGTGGCAGAACCAGGTGACAGACTGGATTGGGAGGAGTTGGGGAAGAGAGATGGCAAAGACGCCTCCCAGGCCTCTGGCTTACATGGCTTCTGCTGAGGTGAGAGACCTCGGAGGGACAGCTGGATTTGGGGTTTGAGGTTGAGGGACCTCTGTGACAAGCAGAGCAGGTGTCAGACAAGCACTTGTCTGTTTGGGGAGCTCACTGGGGTTCCTGCATCCCACATGGTGAGGAGGTGAAAGCCAGAAAGTCCGAGTGACTTGGGGTGACATTACACAGCGGGTGCAGACCTGGTGGATGCTAAGCAGTGAAGGACCTGTCTTTTCAGAGATTGAAGCAGAGGATGTGGGCAGCCCAGAAAGTTCCAGCTTGCCTCTCCACTGGCTCCCCCAGCAGGACCGTCACTTGGACATGGCTGAAGAGGAGCAAGATGGGGTCCTCGAAAGTTCTGAGGTTGAGGAAGCTGGAGAGGACTCCCCAAAGACATGTTCTGTGGCCAGTCTCAGCTCAGAGAGTGATGGGAACCCCAGCCCTGTGGCCCTGGGGCAGGGGCAGGCCAGAAGCTGGGGGGTCTCTGACAAACAAGCCGGTGGAAACAAACCTTTAGAACATTCTGAGGTCGACCTGTTCGTTGAACTCTGCCCCACAAGGTCTTGGAGCAGTGAGACTATGATCCTTGACCACCCTAATAATGGCCTTGACTCCACCTGGGATGGGGAGACCAATGTCCCCCAGCCCACTGCCCTGGCAGACACCTTGCCACAGATCCCCAGCCACTTCCTAAACCCAGACGATAGAACTGGAGGCAGCGTTGCTTGGGCAACCTCCATGGAATTCCAGGACCCCTCGGTAGCCCCAGCCCAGAGCCCCCACCATGCCACAGACAGATGGAGGAAAGGAACTCCCAGCCTCTCCTGCCCTCGGGCTGATGACCAAACCTGGAAGCAGACAAAGATATCACCTAAGCCACTCCCTTCCCGATTCACTGGCTCCATCGGCCCCCTGAATCCTCAGCCTAGGCCAGTCCAGCAGGACAGGCCATCACCCAGGCAGGGAGCCACTCTGGCTGGCCGCTCCACTTCTGATGCCCCCAAGTATGGCCAAGGGCGGCTGAACTACCCACTCCCTGATTTCTCCAAGGTGGAGCCCCGGGTGCGGTTTCCCAAAGATGAAATCTACCGTCCCCCCAAGTCCCGTAGTCACAAGCACCCTGAAGACCCCGGCAGACCCCTCATCTTCAAGTCACCGGCAGAGATTGTGCAGGAAGTGCTGCTGAGCAGTGGAGAAGCATCCCTGGTGAAGGAGCCGCCACCTGTCCACCCTGTCACTAGGGTACCCCAAGAGTTCCAGACACCAGAACAAGCCACTAAGCTGGTCCATCAGCTCCAGGTAAGTGGACTTGTGTCCATGGGTGTCACCAAGGCACCTGTTGGCCTGGGATGGAGGCCAGTTGAGATGGGGAGGCATTAGGGCTGGGCCCCAAGCCCCCTGCTGGTAGAGGGGGATGTTCCAGAGCCATGAGCTGGATCCAGGCCCATTGCTCAAAACCAGCAGTGATTGTACTCACATTCCAAGGATTATCTATTTGTTTTCAACTTTTGCTATGAAAAGATTCAAACATATACAAGAGAGAAAATGGTACAATGTACTCCCATCCACCAGCACCCAGCACCCCTGGTTAGCAGTTCCTATTGACATTCCTTGTCCATGGCCCCCTCGTCTCCGCTCCCCCCCACCAGGTTATTTGGGTCTTTGGGGGGTTGTTTTTTTGGGTTTTTTGTTGTTGTCTTTTTTTTTTTTTTGAGAAAGAGTCTCATTCTGTTGACCAGGCTAGAGCACCATGGAGTCATGATAGCTCACAGCAACATCAAACTCTTGGTCTCAAGCCATCCCCTTGCCTCAGCCCCCCAAGTAGTGCGACTACAGGCACCCACCACATCCAGCTAGTTTTTTTTATTTTTACTAGAGACAGGGTCTCACTCTTGCTCAGGCTGGTCTCAGACTCCTGAGCTCAAGCAATCCACCATCTCCAGCCTTCCACTGGGTTATTTTATTTTATTTTTGGCCAGGGCTGGGTTTGAACCGCCACTTCCAGCATATGGGGCCAGCACCCTACTCCTTTGAGCCACAGGCGCCGCCCCCACTGGGTTATTTTGAAGTAAGATTTCAGGCATCTAGTTATTTTACCAAAAATACTTGAGGGTGTATATATGTCTCAAGAGAAAGACCTTATTTGAAGCACAACCACAATACCATTATCAATACTAAATGTTTATGCCAGTTCCTTAATATCATCAAATATGGAGCCAGCATTCAGATCTCTTGGTGTCTCAT